GCCACCTTAGGTGTATGTGGCTGGCGCCTTAGCCGCTTGAGCCACAGGCGCCGAGCCAGAGTTTCATTTATTAACCCTCGGTAGAGTGCCGTGGCATCACAGCTCACAGCAACCTCCAACTCCTTGCTTTGTTTTTGAGCCAGAGCCTCACTCAATCACCCCAGGCAGGGTGCAATGGCATCAGCCTCACTCACAGCAACCTCAAACTCCAGGGCTCAAGTGATCCTCCTGCCTCAGCTTCCTGAGTAGCTGGGACTACAGGCACCTGCCACCATGTCTGGCTAATTTTTCTATTTCTAGTAGAGAAGAGGGTCTCACTCTTGCTCGGGCTGGTCTCAAACTCCTGATCTCAAGCAACCCACGCCCCCTTGGCCTCCCAGAGTGCTAAGATTACAGGCGTGAACCACCACACCCGGCCAAGGGAGAGTTTTTTAAAACACCAAAACACAAGGGCATAAATAGAATTTGGAGGCCTGAGATGTACCATTTAGGAATGAAAAGGTTCCTTCTTTGTTGCTGGAAAAAAAGGAAGCTAACCTGCCAGAGCATTATTTACAACTGTCCTAGCTCAGTTCTCTGTAAGTTTCATAATAGAACTGTGTGTGCTCCTGTGCAATCGTACCGCACACAGGCGCGCGCGCACACACACACACACACACACACATCCTGCCCCAAGAAGACCAAACCACAAGACCTCTGTCTCCCACATCACCTCCAAAGCCACTGGCCAAGGCAGTCCCTGGCAAAGAGACTGGGGATTCCACAGCTGTGCCCATTGGCATGGGCCTCTGCGCTCAGGGGAAGTCTGGCCGGACATGGAGCTGGCCTCCTCCTCCTTTTCTGGCTGGGGGATTCCCCCTCCATCAGCCTTGAGCATGGTCTAGCCGAGGTCCAGCCCATCTGCAGAGTTCTTCAAAGTGATGGGGAAGTGAAGGAGAGGGGGGGCCTAGTGTGGTGTGGCAGCTCTGTCAAGACCTGCCTGGCTTAGAAAGCAGAGAGAATCAGAGCCAGCCCGTGTCCACAGGCCTGCAGGGGTCAGCCCATTGGCTACTATACATAACCAAAGACCCTACCATCCAGAGAAGTTTCTCTATCCTTTGAGGATCAGGTGGGCATGCCCTTTGCTATGGGCTGTGGATGGGTGGAGTATGTAGTGCTCTATTTAGCCAAAGCCATGGGCACCCAGATTATTAGACCCAGAGTCTGCTCTGATTCCTGAGTATCACCCCCACATCCTAACACCCTATATGGTGCTCTCTCTGCCCCTACAGCAGCCAGTCTCTCCTCCACTCCAGCATCTCCAGCCATCAGTCACCTTCTAGATCCTTGGAAAGTCCAGCCAGCTCTTCCTCCAGCCTCCACAGTCTTGGTTCAGTGTTCCCGTGTACAAGACCCAGTGACTTCCAGGCTCCAAGCAACCCCACCCAGAACATGGGCCAGCCCAGAGCACCCCACTCCCCACTACTAGCCAAAGAACATGCCAGCAGCTGCCCCCCATCGATCAACAACTCCATGGTGGACATACCCATTGTGCTGATCAATGGCTGCCCAGAACCAGGGTCTCCCCTACCCCAGAAGACCCCAAGACACCAGGGCTCCATCCAACCTGGAGCTGCTTCTCCCAGCAACCCCTGTCCAGCCACCAGACGCCACAACCAGACCCAGCCAGATGCCCCCTTCACCGTGTGCCCAGAGGGTATGTTGTAAACCGATACCTCAAACAGTATAAGGTTTGGCTGGGAGAAGAGACAAAGCACCATGGGGGTCTGCCACAGCCAGTCAACACATTTACTATGTGGCCAGCACTGGGCCAGGTAATGAAGACACATGGGCAGCAGTCTAGAAAGAGGCAAAAGTCAAGCATCACTATTGAGTAAGGTAAACACAGAGGTAGAGAGATGTTCTGAGTCTTATGGGGCCATAGAGAAAAGAGTGTTCTGTCAGTCTGGAAAGCAGAGGGAGCAACATCTGAGCTGAATCTGGAAAGCAGGACGAAGTTCATGGTCAGAGGAGAGGGCAAGCATTCCCAGCAGAGAGAACAGGGAATCCACAGTCTCAAAGGTCTGCAAGCACATGGCATGTTTAGGAAATGCCTGAAATGTTGGATATAGTGTTAAGTCACTGAGAGGCTGGAGTCAGATTGTAAAAGGCCTTGAACGCCAAGTTAAAAAGTCGATGTCAGTCAGGCGTGGTGGTTCACTCCTATAATCCCAGCACTCTGGGAGGCCAGGCAGGAGGATCTCAGGAAGCCAGGAATTTAAGACCAACTTGAACAAGTGTGAGACTCTGTCTCTACTAAAAATAAAAAATTTAGCTGGGCATGGTGGCAGGCACCTATAGTCCCAGCTACTCAGGAGTTTAAGGTTGCTGTGAGCTATAATGATACCAGTGCACTCTAGCCAGGACAACAGGGTGAGACTGTCTCTAAAAATAAATAAATAAATAAAGTAGATGTTTACCCTTTAGGCACCTGAGGACCATCAGAGAATCTCAAACAGGGGAGAACTGGGGCCAGAGGCGGGGGCTCAATGCAACACTCTGGCAGCTACAGGCAGATGGATTGCAGAGGCCTGAGCCAGGAAGGGGCAGTGAGAGTGAAGGAAAGAGGACAGAGCCAGGCAACCCTGTAGGGCTGTGGAAGCAGCAGCCTTGATGACTGACCCATGGAAAGAGAGAGGGCGAGTCAGTCCCATCTCTGACGTAGGTGAATGACGAGAAACAGAGGGGGTGGACGGGGTAATGGAGACAATGCATTCCAGGTCAGACAGCTGAAAACCACAAAAGAGCAAACACCCTCCTTCCCGGAGTCTGCGACTATAGGCGTCCAAAAAGAACAAAATCAACCAGGGCCCACAGCAATAAACACAGAAGCTAAGCCTTGGCACCCTTTGGGTGGGCATCTCCCAAGAGCAGAGCCCCCTGCCAACACTATCCAGGCTCCCCCTCCCATGGCCAACTCTCAGCCCTCACTCAGGCACCAAGGCGATGCTGGGGGTGTGAAAAGCTCACTCCCACTCGCAGAGCCATGCCAATGCAAGCGGGAGAAAATGGCATGTCAGGTATGCTTTTGAGTCTGCTGTGATTGCTTTCCTAGGACAAATCATTTGCAGATTTTAGTATTCTGTTAGGAGTTACTTGAATATAACTGGTCACAATTCTTTGTTTCAAGATTTCGAAATTAAAAACCACTGCTTTCTGCCTTAGGGACCCAGGAAAACGGGCACTTTGGCATCTCAAAGAGCACATTTACTTAGCCCAGTGATGTTCCCATCCTGCTTTGGTGATGCCCCCTAGGACAGCTCTAATTATACCCTGGGACAGGGGTCCTCAAACTTTTTAAACAGGGGGCCAGTTCACTGTCCCTCAGACTGTTGGAGGGCCAGACTGCAGACCCTGGGACCAGTCGGCTGCTAAGCAGGACAGGCAGCAGTGGCAAAAACACCCAGCAGGCCAGATAAATGTCCTAGGCGGGCCACATATGGCCCACGGGCTGTAGTTTGAGGACCCCTGCCTGTGATCTTGTCAAATTCTGCAAAATATTCTCAAAACAAAATTCATTTCCATCTCATAGGCTATGGGAGCATTAAAGACCCTCAGGGGCTGTTTAGTCCGGTTGGTCCCCTCTGGGCTTCAGTTGTTCCAAATCAGAGTCAAGAACCCAAGCTCTCAATTCTGAGGGCTTATTCTTCTGCCCAGATCTGCTGTTTCCTCTCCTTCACCTTTTTTTCCATTTTCTTTTCCAAGCTGAATAGACCCCTAAGGAACTATTAGGATTATTAACGGGGAGGTGGGGGAGGATGTGAAATCGAACATGACGCATCTGAGAATTCCTTATTTTTCCTTTATTTCAGTCCCCACTAGGCAACAGTAGATCTGAGAAACTGTTTCTCATCAAACTGAGGTTTTATCCATTTGTTCATTATTCATTACCAAGGATACACAGGCACTTCTAAGTCTCAGATGGACCAAGCCCTGTGAATCCTTCACACCCCCCAGGTCGCCTTATAGGCAGCTTGGGGACACCATGGGGTTGGGTCCCAGCTGGTGGTTGAATGAGACCTCTGGACACAGCAGCAGGGGAGGGTCTCCAGCCCTCTCTGGTGCATGTCTCTCAGGGGCCCCCTTCTCTGTCTGTCTCTAGGTCCCACCAGGGACATGCAGCCCACCATGAAGTTTGTGATGGACACATCTAAATACTGGTTTAAGCCAAGCATCACCCGAGAGCAAGGTAAAAGGAAGAGTGGGTGACCCTGGAATCAATCCTGGTCCTGCATGTCACATCAGGCAAATGGAGGCCTGGGTCCTGGTAAAGGAGGAATGGCAAATAGCAGGTCCAGGGAAGGGGGAGTGTCCTGCTGACCTCATGAGGAAATAGGGACCAACTACTGTGAGAATGGCAGAGATTAGGCTGTCATGTCTGCTCTGTGAAGGCCGTAGGTTGCTGGGGACAGAGGGTGTGCAAGTAGGGTAGTATCTGTCTCTGACTCAAGGATTGTTTCAGCAATTGAGCTGCTGAGGAAGGAAGAGCCAGGGGCTTTTGTCATAAGGGACAGTTCTTCATACCGAGGCTCCTTTGGCCTAGCCTTGAAGGTGCAGGAGGCCCCCGCATCTGCTCAGAACCAAGCAGGTAGGCACCTGTTTCTGAGTTCGCTCAAGACCTCACTGGGGCTGGAGGGTGTGGTGGGTTCTAGTTCCTGCTCTGACACTAGCTCTCAGGGTGACCTCAGGCCAGTCTCATAAGGACTCCAGGCAGGAGGGTTCACCTCAGCACCCCCTCAGATGCTCTCCAGCACTGAGGCAAGCCTGAGTTGCCTCTGCCTCCCCAAGTACCCCAAATTCCATGCTCTACCCTCATGGTGGGAAGAGAAAGAGGAAGTTTCCAGCCCTCTCTAAGACTGCTGTCTTCTGGGTTAGATGGGATTTATCTCCAGGGAACCTAATGTGTAGTAACACTTGTGTGCTAGCTTATCGTGTGTGCACTAACTTATCACACATGTGCTAGCTTATCACGCACTTTCCCGGGATCCCCCATGCTCATCTGGTAACTCAGCACACATTTATGGGGCGTCCGCCAAATACCAGGCACTGTGTCCTCACACCAGGGATACAGAGGAATCAGACCCTGATACCACCTCACCGACCAGATAGATGGAAACAGATAATTACAGGGCAAGGTAGCTAGGTCACAGCCCCTCACCTAAACCCCAGGATCACACCTCTCATTTAATGGATGAGGTAACTGAGGCCCCAAGAGCCAGTTAATGACGCCAGAGCAATTAAGTGATAGAGCTGGGCTGGAAACCCCAACCTTGTCTTCTTCAGGCCTCCCTGTGGAGGGTGATAATGGTCAAGGAAGCTTCTAGAGAGGCAGTGAGCCCAAATCAAGGGAGAAGCTTCATGACAAGGGTGTGTTTGCCCTCCCAGGGCCTGCTGGGCTCCAGCAACGATCTGGTGCAGAATAATAGCTCCTGGGATGTGGTGGGCAAAGGGAGGGGAAAACCAGGCTGAATGTTTTGATCTACCAAACAGTAATTAAGAACCATCCCTGATAACTCTGGACCAAGGGAAAGGTTTTCTAAAGCCTCTGAGCAAATGTGTTGGCACCTCCTTTGTGGGAGGCCTGGAAAATAGGATTCCTCCCTGCGGTTCCACCCAGAGGCAGGGGATGGACAAGATAACCTTCAGATGCGCCCTAGGAGGTGTATCAGGGAACAAGTTGGTCGGTGTTTAGCTGGCACAGGGCTCTGAAGCTCCCATCTTTGGGCACTCATTCATCCTCTGTCCAGGTGAGGACAGCAGTGACCTTATCCGGCACTTCCTCATCGAGTCTTCTGCCAAAGGAGTGCACCTCAAAGGAGCAGATGAAGAGCCCTACTTTGGTAAGCCTCCCCAGCCACCAGGCCCTCAGGGGGATCTCCCCAACCTCCAGGCCTCCCCTGCAGGGAGGGGACAGCAGAGGCTCTGAGGGTGTACTCAGGAAGCCTACTCACACAGAGCTACTCATTTCCCTCCAGGGAGCCTCTCTGCCTTCGTGTGCCAGCATTCCATCATGGCCCTGGCCCTGCCCTGCAAACTTGTCATCCCTCAGAAAGGTGGGTCTGGGCCCCAGGAAGGCAATGTCGGGCCACTGGACCTGTTCGTTTGTTCTCACCAGAAAGGCTCTTGTTGGTTTATAGATTAAACAAAGGCTCTCCTATGTTTATGGATTATTTTAGCGTCACAGTTAAAAGTGCACACTCTAGGCTCGGCGCCTGTGGCTCAAGTGGCTAAGGTGCCAGCCATGTACACCCAAGGTGGCGGGTTCAAATCCAGCCCAGACCCGCCAAACAACAATGACGGCTGCAACCAAAAAATAGCCAGGCGTTGTGGCAGGCGCCTGTGGTCCCAGCTACTTGGAAGGCAGAGGCAGGAGACTCGCTTGAGCCCAGGAGTTGGAGGTTGCTGTGAGCTATGAAGCCACGGCACTCTACCCAGGGGGATAGCTTGAGGCTCTGTCTCAAAAAAAAAAAAGTGCACACTCTAAAGTTTGTCAACATCGCCACTTCCTAGGTGTGAGAATGTGAGAATGTTAACTTCTCTGAGCCTCACTTTCCTCATCTGTGAAATGGGAACAATCCTCGTCATTCCTACTTATAGAATTGTCTGCAGATTGAATGAGACAGCTCAGGCAAGGCTCTTAGCACAATGCCTGGCACAGAATAGATGTTTGGTAAATAGTAGCCTTCTTTGCAAGGATAAAAGAGTCCATACCAAATAGTTGTAGAGGTTCCCTCCCACCCCCAGGGCCAGCATTTCTTGAGCAGTACTCACTCATTCATGCCTCCTGGCACAACCTTGTGGAGTAGATTTTGCTGTTATTATTCCCATTTCACAGAAAAGAAAGTGAAGCTTCTAGCTGTTAAATAACTTGCCCAAGTTCCCATAGAGGCAGACCTTGAACCCAGATCAGCAAGCCCTGCCCAGGGTGTCCAGCTGTACCCCAGATGCCTTGGGGTCACAGAAGAAGCTTGAGAAGAGGTGTTTCTGGGAGAGGAGTCAGGGCAAGGGAGCCCTAGTGGGGTGATGGCAAGACCTCCCCTCACTTTCTGCAAAGAAAGACCTGGAGTTGGAATGAGGTCCAAAAGAAGTCAGGGGTCAGGGCCTGTGAGGATGAGGTCACAGCAGCCATCTGGGGGTGGAAGGGGGGTAGGGATCAAAGGCTTGCAAGCTGGGTACTTGGAGAGCCCAAAGTGGGCCCTGTTTGCCTAATTACCATAATCACACCTGGTTTCTCAGCCAAGTCACTTCCTGGAGGTGGGGGTGGAGGTGGGAGATGTTCAAAGGGATTAATGAGGCCTGTTCCTATGAGAGGGGTCCATTCACTCCACCCCCTGCCCCCTTGGGGGCCTGTTCCTTTGCCTTGGCTCAGAACTGGGAGGTGCAGATGGGGCCTCTGCCCCCTCCACAGACAGCCCGGCCTCCTGCCTGAAGAAATCAGCTGGTAAGTGGCACAGGGGAGGCACCAGGCTATGCCCCCAGGAAGGCACCTCCCAGCACTGTGTGCACGCAGGCACGCACGCACACACAGGCCCACACATGTTTCCCATCCCAGCTTTGTTTCTGCATCTTTAACAAGGTGCCACACCCCTCCCACCCCTGTAAACCGGGAGATGAGAGGCTGCAGGCACTGGGCCAGCGGGGAAGTGGGGGGAGGGAGGTGCTGGCAGAGCTCACACACTCCTGCACATGCACAGGCACACATGTACATGCTCAGGTAGTCTCTGGGCCTGGGATCCTGTGGGGTGTCAGGTCTAAGTCCTGGAGGGGCTCCAACGCAGAAGAGGCCCCTCCCTGACCCTCCCAGAGGCCAGGCAAGATCAGTACTTATCTCAGTGGCAGCTCCTACTCTGTGCCCCCAGCACAGTGGCTCCCCTCCCACACTCTTGCCAAAGAACCTGAGGTGTGGGGAGGGGGCAGCCATAGATCTGGACAGAAGAAAGTTTTCTTGGATACCCCTACCCATGGGCAACATCCCTGCTTGACCCCACACTGAAAGTCCAGGGGCCTGGGCAATGCAGGGCAACAGAAGATCCCCAAATCCTCCAAGGTTGGCCTCAAATTGTGGTTGCCCATGAACTCCCTTCCAGTTTGGTAACTCAAAGAGGAGCCCCACAGGATTCCTGAAGAAGAAAGGCCCCAGGCAGAGGGCAGAGGGAAGACCTAGAAGAGGGGTGGTCCCCATCTAGTCCTTGGGCTCTGGCAGCAGCCCCAGAGCAGTGTTTCCATCCCACAGGCTGCCACGCCCTATACTTGAGCTCTGTGAGTATAGAGACCCTGACTGGCGCCCTAGCTGTGCAAAAGGCCATCTCCACCACCTTCGAGAGGGATGTCCTCCCCACGCCCACCGTGGTCCACTTCAAAGTCACCGAGCAGGGCATCACCCTGACCGACGTCCAGAGGAAGTAAGGACCTTCCCTTGCCCTGAGGATATAGGGAGGGCAGAGCAGAGCTGGAGAGGGTGGCTGGGACAGTGTGGATCAGTGATGAAGGTCAAGTTCAGGGTCCTGGACCCAGTGGGAGTAGTAAGGTGCTGGACAACCCTAGGCAAGTTCCCTGCCTTCTCTGGGCTTCCCTCTGATGACCTCCTGCACAAGCTCCCCTACATCACAACTGGTGGAGATGGAATTAACTTGTATTTACTGGGTACCAATTAAGTCTGCACCCTTTGATGGAAGGTCTTCCATGGGCCAGGCTCTGGCTGACCACTGAGATGCAGGGTGGAAAGGGATCACGCCTTCCCCGGGCACAGGGACTCACAGTCTAGCAGGAACCTGATCCTGAGCTAAGAGAAACAAGAGAGGACCACGACATCATTCCTATCCTCAAGAAGTTAAATGCCATGGTGGGGGGACATGTAGGACACGAGGCAGATGCACTCTGGAGAGGAAAATGCACAAGTAGGCCCCGGGCCCAGCCGCAGGAAGGTCACAGCAGGTCATAGGAGGTCTACTGTGGAGGCTTCTTAGAGTCAGGGCATGATGCTGGATCAGGCTCTCACCAGCTTCCCTTCTCTCCCTTCCTCCTCCCAGGGTGTTTTTCCGGCGCCATTACCCCCTCGCCACCCTCCGCTTCTGTGGCATGGACCCTGAGCAACGGAAGTAAGTTCAAGGCTGGGCCAAACTAAGAAGGCCATCCAGGGCCTGGCTGCCCACCAGGTGTCCTGATGACTCTGGGGCTGGGGTCTCAAAGAGAGCCCATGAGCCCCAAGGGGTTGGGGCTGCAGAATGAGGGTGGAGATGCAACTGGCCAGTCCCCCCATGTTCCCCCAGAGCCCTGTGTCATGGAGCAAAGCCTCACGACAGCACCACTGTGTTCTTTCCCCACAGGTGGCAGAAGTACTGCAAGCCCTCCTGGTAAGGACCTCCCATCCACACAGTCATCATAAGAAGTGTCCCTGTTGCAGGGCCCCAGACCCACTAGAGGGAGGAGGGAAGCCCATCCTGACCTTGATAGCCTGTAGTGTTGATGATGTTCGTGCACTGGTCCTCAGGGAGCATCTTTTCTTTTCTTTTTTTTTTTTTTTTTTTTTTTTGAGACAGAGTCTCACTTGTTGCCCTTGATAGAGGGCTCTGGCATCACAGCTCACAGCAACTTCAAACTCTTGGGCTCCAGTGATTTTCTTGTCTCAGCCTTCCGAGTAGCTGGGACTATAGGCACCTGCCACAATGCCCAGCTATTTTTAGAGAATAAGGTCTTGCTCTTGTTCAGGCTGGTCTTGAACTTCTGAGCTCAGGCAATCCACCTGCCTCTGCCTCCCAGAGTGCTAGGATTACAGACGTGAGCCACAGCACCTGACCTGGGAACTCCTTTTCTGATGGTGGAGACTATGACTCTGTCCCCGCAGAGTCTGCAGTCTGATGGGAGAGATATGCAGCCAAGAGCCTTTGTCTTACACAAGGCTCTAACCTCAAGGAGCCTCAGTCTGTGTGAGTCTAGTAGTCAAGATACCTCCTTGTCCTCAGGGAGCTTCTGCTCTAATGAGTAGGAGGTTCTGTCCTTGGGGAGCCCCCATTCAAAACAAAAGAAACCAAGAGCATGAACTCAGGGATCGCACAGCCTGGCAGGCGAGGCATCTCCTTCCTTAGGGACCCCCTGTCAAAGGAGATGCTGGAGCCTACTGGCAGGGGGAGAGGTAGGGAGGAATGTGGTATAGCGTGAGGGCCCCTACTTCACTCCCATTGGCCTGACACGTCCCTGGGTCCATCCCCCCTCACTCAGACTGCCCTCCCCCACCAGGATCTTTGGATTTGTGGCCAAGAGCCAGATGGAGCCCCAGGAGAATGTGTGCCACCTCTTCGCAGAGTATGACACAGTTCAGCCAGCCTCACAGGTCATCAGCCTGGTGGCTGCCCTGCTGCAAGACACAGAAAGGATGTAGGGGAGAGAGCTGCCTGTGCACCTTCCCGGACATCTCCAGGGCTTGCCCGAGAGCCCCCCTCCACTCCCCGAACAAGTGTGGCTTGTGGCAGACCACAGACCATTCTGTTGGTCTATCAGTATCAATTTGATACTGAATAGTATCAATTTGAAACCCTTGAACCCACTGTGACCTTCAGCAGTAACCTTCATCCAGATCCCCTGGACCTCAGTTTCCCCAACCATAAAAGGAACCCAAGGGACCAGATCACCTGTTCTTCTCAAACTTTGGTGGGCATTTGAACATGCCCCTCCATGATTCTGAAGGATACCCACATTTGACGTTCAAGGATCCTTGCCTAAAAATAATGTCTGAAAACCCTCTGACCCCATCAACCTGGATGCTATGGACACTACCATAATAACAGTCTGACAGAGACACCTGTCGTTTTGTGGCAGACGGCAGGAGCTATGTCAGGATCCACAGGGCTGCTGACCCGAGACTGATGATAGTTAAGGATTGAGGACAGAACAAGGGATGGAACATACTCTATCTCCTTCTATATCTGTTCTTTTATTTATTATTTTTTTTTTTTTTGAGACAGAGTCTCACTCAGTCGCCCAAAGGGTGACATGGCATTGTAGCTCACCGCAACCTTAAACTCTTAGGCTTAAGCAATCCTCTTGCCTCAGCCTCCCAAGTAGCTGGGACTATAGGTGCTCACCACAATGCCCAGCTATTTTTAGAGACGGTTCTCGAACTTGCTCAGGCTACTCTTGAACTCCCGAGCTCAAGTAATCCACCTGCCTCAGCCTCCCGGAGTGCTGGGATTACCAGCATGAGCCACCACCTCACCCAGCCCATTTCCCACGTTCCTGATGACTTTTGGGCCCACTTGCCCAGGATTCTGCAGGCCAATGTGGCTGTGGTTGCTGGGGCATCTCAGAGGGGGATACCTAGCACCCATGGTCAGAGAAGATCCAGCCGTCCTCCAACTCTTGATGCCTAGTCCCCTCCCCCACTTGCAAGTGAGTATTCATCCTGTTCAATTTCTTGATAAGTTCCTGTCCCATAGCTGGTGTTACAGTTGCCCTAGTGTTGCACATCTGGGGCTTGGGGGCAGAGAGTTCTCCAGAGCAGATATAAAAGTCATCTCTCTGTGGTTCTGCCTCAGCTCCAGTCTTGCTGAGTCCCCCATCACCCCAACACACACACACACACTCTGAGGCCCCACCACTGTGTGGTGTCAACTGGCCTCACAGCCACACAGGGGCAGCAGAGAGTCAAGAATGCGAAGATGTGGGCTCCTCCAAGAAACTGGGAAATCTCAACCCCTGCCCAGCCCCCAGAAGCTGTAACCCAGTGTCTAGCAAGTCTGTGTACCTAAGGAAACCACCCGCTGAAGGTGGAGAGGGAGGCTCAGGGAAAAAGCCCACTCCTGCTCTCTGAGGAGCAAGTGCTCGCCCTCTCCCAGTGGCTAGCCCTGCCAAAGCAGCATTGTCTTTGGCCAAGGTTGGGTCTGACAGGTTACCATTTCAACCCAGGAAACCAAACTGGACTGGAGCGTTCCCCAGCTGGTGGGAGAGACGGAGATCAGTCTGCTCAGCCTGTGGTCAGGCACTGCCCCACCCCTGAAGTCTCCAGAACCTTAGATCTGGTCCCCAAGGTCACAGTGCCCAGGCAGTTCCCATCGCAAAAAAATAAAGTGTCTGTCTTTGCATAGCAATTGGTTCTAAGGCCTTCTGGGCTGTCACTTGAGAGACAGAGACCTGACTGGGGGGAGAGGGGTGCCTGTTAGAGAAGACCGCAGAACAGGCTCAGCGCTTCCAATTCACAAGCTCCAGAGCATAACCTGCTATGTCCCCATGTACTTAACACACCCATTTTTCTTTCTTCAGGACCCCTTTCCTGCCACTTTGCCAGGAAAACAGAAGGGTAGGGTTTCCCTGTGTTCTGGGGCCTAAGGAGAGCATGTGTGTGATTTCCATGTACCCCTGCTGGGTTCCAAGGTCTACCTCAGCCTCCCTGAGCAGCGGAATCCCTGTACCCCTGCTGAGTTCCAAGGTCTAGCTCAGTCTCCCTGAGCAGCTCCAGACCCCTGCTGAGTTCCAAGGTCTAGCTCAGTCTCCCTGAGCAGCTCCAGAGTAGTCCGCAGGAGTCACTACACCAAAATAACTTCCAAGATTCCAGCTCAGCCCTGAACAATTGGACAATTGGACAATGGCCTCTTCATCCCCCCCCTCCCCGGGCTGGCGAGTTCTAGCCCTGGCTGCTCCTCACTCCCTCCAGTCTCAGGGTAATGCCCCTCCAGACCTGTCCCAAGCAATTCAGTCTCACCAAGTGCTACGGGAGGGGCTACAGGGCTCTCTGCCATCCTTCTTAGAGGGATGGGAAGGACCCTCCTTCTGCCTGGGCTGAGCCATGTGACTCAGGGGCAGGAGCTAAACCAGAGGACTCATGGAGAGACCTCCCCAGTGGCCTTGAGCCCCTGTTAGGTAACCCCTGAATCTCCTCCCACTGCCCAATTGCAGTTCCAGACTGGTACTCCTCTCAGTCCCCTGCCCTGGCCCCTTTGGCCCAGCCACCAACAGAGTCTGTAGAAGGTAATTATCTCAGCTGCATTTGCCTCAGCTCATCTCTCCTGTAAGATTTAGCAGAGAACTTGACCTGAGCTTTTACTGATGGGCAGAGCAGCTGGCCCAGCGGAGGTAGGAGGGCTGGAGGACAGAGAGCAGGAAGGATGACTACAAAGCCAGAACCCAGGAAGGGAAGGGTCTTCACACCCACACAGGGATACCTAAGGAGTTTTCTCTCCAGCAGATTCCAGGTCTGAACCCCTGCCCCAGTCTCTGCTCCAGGGTCTCCACCCCCTAATCTTCCCCTCCCTGTCCGTTTCTCCATTGCTGTATCCCTGTACACCCATACCACCTACCTACCTACCTCCCCTCCCCCTTCTCTCCTTTTCCCCTTCTCATCAAGAGCACTCTGTCTCTCTTTACTGAGAAACCTTCCCTCCCTCTTGCTCTTTTCCAATTTAATTCCTTTGTCCTTTTGTCCCAGGGGGCTGGACACACACAAGGCCCAGCTGCTGCTGGAGCTGATGCAAAGGAGGAGGACAGCCCCCTGCACTGCCAACCATTTTCCAAACTCAGATTCCCACACTCTTAGGCCCTGCCTCCTCTCTGGCAATAAAGCCCTTCCCGGGAGGCTGAAGCGCCCTTGCCCCTGCCCCCTTCTGACCAGCCACCTCTCCCACACTCACTCCCGCTGAGGGCCGGAGGCTACTATCTCTGGTGTTTAGTCTTTGGCCTCTGGTCCTTAATTCTTGTGCCATCCAATCATCTGAGGGCTTAGAACCAGGGCAAGGGGTGGGGGTTAAGGGCTTCCAACCCAGAGGCTGATGCCTTGACTCATGTAGCAAACGTTTTCTGGCCGTATGCTTTGTTTGTGTGAGGCAGGAAAATATCTGACTGTGATGGTGTTATAACAGAAGTTTGTAAATGCCATGCAGAGGTGACAGGAAGAATAGAAACAGGGACAGATAAACTTTACCCGCTTGAAGGAACTGAGGGCTGTGTTCCCAAGGAGGTAACATTTGATTTGTGTCCTCGCAGATGAATAGGAATTTAGCATGCAAAGAAAAGAGAAACCAGTTTTTATCGAAGGCGTTCCTGTGTGCTAAGTGCAATGTGAGAGACATTATATGTGTCTAATCCCATTTTACAGATTAGAAAGCTGAGGTTCAGGCTCAGCACCTGTGGCTCAAACGGCTAAGGCGCCAGCCACATACACCTAAGGTGGAGGGTTCGAATCCAGCCCAGGCCGGCCAAACAACAGTGATGGCTGCAACCAAAAAATAGCCAGTTGTGGTGGGCGCCTGTAATCCCAGCTAATTGGGAGGCGGAGGCAGGAGAATCACTTGAGCCCAGGAGTTGGAGGTTACTGTGAGCTGTGATGACATGACCCTCTACCCAGGGAGGCTCTGTCTCAAAAAAAAAAAAAGAAAGAAAGAAAAAAAAAAAAGAAAGCTGAGGTTCAGAGGGTTGACTTGCCCATACTCACCTAGCTAGTAAATGGCAGAAAATCAAGATTTCAAGTCTACCCCCATCTTACTACCCCAACATTCACAGAAAGCAGATGGAAAAATGTATACGTGAAACATACTGGCATAAAAGGGGTAACCATGTTTGGTGTGACTACAGTCCATAATACCCTAAGAAGCAAGTGAGAGACAAAAGCAGAAGAAAGAGGCGTGAGCAAGATCATGAAGACCCTTTGGTGCCAGCTAAGAATGTCTAGAAATGAATACTTGTTAAAGGTATCAATGAATGAATGAATGAGGTTGAATTAAGGACCACTGTGTACAGTTGTGCAGGCTGCACAATGCACAGTCATACCCGGCAACCTGCTTGGGTTTCACCCTGTAAGTGATGGGGAGACATCAGGAGCTTTCCAGCCGAGGAGTTGACCAGATCTGTGCTTTAGAAATAAGGTTGTGGAGGCAAGAGATGAGATCTGAGATCTAGGTTGAGTGGAGAGAAGGGTACTGGGATGAAGACTTGGGAGTTCAGACCCCGGGAGAGGGTAAGAGTCTAAGTAGAAGAGCTTTCAGCCTGGCATAGTCTTGGGCAGGAGTCTGCTTGACCTGGGCCTAGGTCCTTGGTTCTTTCTGGACTTGAAAGGACCATGTAGGAAAGAGCACAACCAGGGGTCCTCATTTCCCCTCGTATTCATTAGTCTTCTTGGGCAGTCATAACAAAATACCATAGGCTGGGTGGCTTAAATGACAGGAATTTATTTTCTCACAGTTCTGGAAGCTGGACGTCCAAGATCAGGTGCCATCATGGCTGGGTTCTGGTGAGGACTGTCTTCCTGGCTTACAGACAGCTGCCTTCTCACTGTGTGTCCATGTGGTCTTTCCCGTGTGTATGGCAAGAAAGACAGACAGACAGAAATATCCCCCTCTTTCTCTTTTTCTAAAGCCACCAGGCCTACCCTCATAAACTCATTTAACCTTAATTACCTCAGAAAAGTCCTATCTCCAAATACAGTCGCATTACGGGTAAAGGCTTCAACATGTGTGGATTTAGGGGGACACAATTCAATCCATAGAACCCCTCCATGCTAGGCCTACCCCAGCCATGTTCCCCTTCCCTCCCACCCCCAGTCCTGGCCAGACTGGAGCCTGCAGACCCTCCTCTTCCCGACTCGAACTCTTGGGGCCAGCCAGGGGCTTGTTTTGTAACTCCGGTTCCTGGAAGGCATCTCAGCCCTTCACCTCTCCCCAGCTGGATCCAGCCAAGGGAGGCAAGTAGAGCTTGGCTTGGAGCAGACCTGGGGGGTGGGGAGACAAGCCAGGAGAAGGGAACCAGAGAGGGAGAACAAGGAGGGGGAGGATGAAGAGGGGGAATGACACACACTCGCTTGTTCGCGCATTTGACAAATACGTGCTGAGCTCCATGTGACCCGTGCAAAATGAGGCAGACAGGGGTTGGCGGGGGAGGGGGATCTGCGTGTGCCCCAGGAAGCAATGTTCTCTCCTCGAAGTCAGACCCAATGCCCTGTGAACACTGAAATGGGACATGTCCTTAGTTCACCCCACTCCTACACACACACACACACACACACACACACACACACACACTTAACTTCCTTCTTCTGTATCAAGAATCAGAAGGCTGTGTGGTCAGGCGATTTGGGTGGCAGGTTCCTTCAGCCACGGGCTAGCTGTACAGTTAGGAGCAAATCACTTCTCTGGGCACTGAGCCTCGGTTTCCTCAATTATAACACCTACCTCTCAAAATTAAGGGGAGGCCTAAATTATGGGAAGCCTAAAAAGTATACCCGACATGAGTGCACTTCTCAGCCTGTGGAGCACTGCACGAATGATCCTCAGGACAAAAACAGCATATGGCAAGCACTGTACCATCAGAATGAGTGCTCCATGAGATTCACCTCCGAATCCCCAGCACCTAGAACAGTGCCTGGTGCACGAGGTCAGGCTGCTGCAAAGATCTGCTTTGAGTGTTACCATAGGATATCTTTTTTTTTTTTTTTTTTTGAGACAGAGTCTCACTATGTTGCCCTGGATAGAGTACCATGGTGTCACAGCTCACAGCAACCTCAAACTCTTTGGG